TTTCAATTTCATTTCAAAATCAACCAAAAAAACTGATGTGTATTTTATTTTGAACAACATTTTGAAGGATTTTTTAATGAATTTCATTCAGATACGTTGGCACATTGCTTGAATGCATGAATGAAATTTTGAAATTATTTTTGATTGGTGGTTTTTGTTATTTCATATATTTTTTGATTTCTATTTACTTTATAATTACACTTGAATGAGTTTGTAATGATCAATTTGGTGGGAAAATATGAAATACATATTTCGAAAAAGTGTTGATAATTAGAAATAGTCATTTTTAAAATATCCTCAATGAATGACATGATGTGATATTTAAGTGTCTATTAAGGTGTTATCAAGTGTCATGGGTACGGGATGATTGCCAATTTCCTTATACATTAATATAACACGCATATTCAATACTATACGGTATCCCAGTTCAGAAGCGCTATAAGAAAAATAGATTAAAAAACATAATAATTTTGTGAAGGTCATTAATAAGAGTGGATTTTTAAAAATATTTAAAATGGATTTTAAAAATATATATAAACATATTTAAACAAAATATATAAACATATTTATTCAAAACTTATAATTAGATTATATTTAGATTATTTCATGATCTAAACCTTTTAAAAACATTTTTACAAAGTGTGTTTTTTAAACTATTCTTCAAGGTCAAAGTTAAGCTTGAACTTTTTTTAAAGTATTTTTTCAAGGCCCGATTTAAGCGTGGATTTTTTAAAAATATCTTTTCAAGGTCCAATTTAAAGGAGGATTTATTTTTCAAGCAATTTAATTGACTAGACTAAAGCGCCAGAAAGTATGCTTTGAAATCTACCAATGATGAAATCAAGGTATCAGTGCAATAAATGTTTGCTTGAGTGCGTCCAAATTAAAGGAGCTACAACTTGATAAATATACATAACGCCAAAAAGTATGCTTTACAATTTATAGGTGTTATGTAGAAACTGTTGTGTCTTGTTTACCACACAATATCATTTACACAAACGCTCATGCACAATTTCAAAATTTGGCGATTTTCAAACGGCTGGCAAAGAAATGAACGTTATGTTGAAAACTTGTAACTTTGTATATATGTATTTGAAGATGTAAATTATAAGAAAATTAATTGGCATAAATTTGTTTTTTGTTGTTTTTGTAACATAAGAAATTCTGAATACAGTTTGCCCTTCCCAAAATGGTGCGGTATGTAGCGATATCGGTTCTGGATCAAATAAAATGGGCCTTGGAACCCTACAAAAACAAGGAAATTCTTTTTACATGACGGAATCTTCTTTTTTTTTCTTTGCGTGGCCGGCCTTCGGCCAGAGTTTTAAGATTTTCACTTTTATACAGACATCTACACAGGCTACGCGACAGAATCTCCTTCTACTTAAGACTTCCATCTATGGACAGTTACCGACACCGGCTACGCGACAGAATCTCCTTTTAAATGTCATAGTTTTGTGGGTGCGAATCAAAAAATTCCAACGGTTTTCAAAATAATACCTGTCTTGCTCTGGTGTGAACTAGGATTATTAAAATAGTACAAGAATTAACAATATGGCGGAACTATTATTTGAGTTGTTAAAAATTTCACTTGGAATTTTAAAGGTTTGAATAAAATAAATAAATTTTTTGAAACCGAGAAAATGAAGGAAAGTGTCCCTTAAAAGAGATCAAAGTAAGAAACGACTCTTCAACACCATCATACTACTCATTACATTTAATCATCCGCTTTTTATACCCTCAGACTTATGGGTAATGACTATGCTACGGCAAAAATGTACCTCATCGAAATATTGGACCAAATCCGTTTCAAACAATTTAGAGTCTATGTACAAATGTCCGTCCGTCTCTCGATTTCATCCAAACTTTCCACATCATATTTTCAATATTTATAAATCCAATATTAGGCGAATTGAATGTCCGATTTGAACCAAACATTGCACAACCTATTATATTTACCAAACCTAGTCCGAAAATGAGACCCATTGGTCCACTCCTTCTGGTACCTGGTATTTATAAATTAAATACCAGCCAAATGGAATGTCCGCTTTGAACCAAACTTTCCACTACCTTTATCCAGCCTAAATAAAGTTTAAAGATGGGACACATTGATCCACTTCTTCTGGTATCTGCCTAACAAAGGGTTAATATTTTATCAATTTTTAATTTAATTTGAAGCGAATTGAATAGCCTATTTGATCAAAATTAAATCGGAAAATACCTTATATAAAACGAATAATAAAACCTGTGCGTAATTTCAAGACTTCCGCAAACCGTTAGCTGCGAGTGTATATCTGTCGGTACGTTGTGCAAAAATGTCGTGTCAATCGGACAAACATTACCTAAAATTGGACAAAAATCTATGTGTATGTCTTAATCTGAACCGATATTCTCGAAACTTAACACACAATGCCAAATTTCGTGCAAATCAAAAAATAAATATAGGGGCTTTGGCACACCATTTACATTAAATCTGACGAATATATATATATATATAATCTGAACCAATTTTTCCAAATTTCAATATGGTTCGTTCCTGGGTCAAATAAATGAGCTGTACCAAATTTCATCCAATTCGGATCATAAATGTGACCTGTATATTGTTCACAATTTAACATGGATAGAAAGACAGACGGACGGAAATGCATTAATCGACTCATAAATTGAGTCTATGCATTTTCTCAAAACAGCAACGTATACAGGATTTCATTTCGAGGGGGGCCGGTATTTCGTTTACTTTTGCCCGCTACAAACATATCCACAAAGACATAACGCACTGTTCCACAGGGCGCAGCATTTTATTTATCAGAATATTTTAGGGAGGACTCTCCCTGTAGCATCTCTCTGTATTTTCGACACCCTCAAAGAGGATCATAACGTCGATGCTATTCCCTGACACTAAGGGCTTTTGATAGGTCAACAGATGTTAATACCAACACCGTTTAATGACAATACCTATTCTAGTTTTGTCCTTGACACATATAAGCGGAAATGGTGTACGACACTGTTGTGATGATGTGCTTCTTAGGAAACACATATTCATAATCCCCAGTTGCCGATTAATAAATCGTAAGTGGTGGCAAAATTGGTCTATATGATTACCCTCTGCTAACATCGTTCACTCTTCAGGAACACCATGAAGATTTTGCAGGCTTCGGGATGTGATGACGGCTCGTATAGTGATGTTTCTTAAAAATTGTTATTTTCTAGCCGATTCTTAGTTTTATTCCAGCTGAACTTCAAGGGGGACATGACGTGAATAGTTATACGTGACCCGCGACATGTATACTTATTAATAACCTTTTTTGAGTGCAATAACATGCATCCAAAGCAACATTCTTTCTACAAATTTCTTTGACAAAACTCACGTATTAGATTGGGTATTTCACATAAATGTACATTTAGTCACATATTAAAAAAATATATTCTGAAGATAAATTCCACTAATTTCGCATAATATCATTAAAAAAATATTTTGTTTATTATTATTATTAATAACAAAGTAAATTATTGTGTGTATAAAGTAAATGGAATTTTACAACATTGTCTACAATAACTTTATGGTGTGTTATGTTTTCTTTTTCTAATACAGAAGTTTGTTATTGAATAGATAAGATCAATAATCTACTGTTGTTTTTGTTTGATCTAATTAAATAAATAGAATTGTAGTCCAGCAGTGTATAATTGTTTTTAAATATATATTATAAAGATATATAGATACGAAAAAATCTGTTTTTGTTTTTAAGCATTTCAAATTGTTTGTATTATATGTGTGTGTGGATGAGATAAGGAAACAAAAACGAACTTCCCCATAATTGCGGCATTTACTTAAGTGACGACATCTTAATTATTATCGCAATAAGAGTAGGTCATCACTCTCGGTTTCTTTATGGAATAAATACAGCAACAGTCGGAGATGACTTGTGTGTTTTCTTTGTTGTTTTTTTTTTTGTCTGAGTGTGTTTGTATTTAAGGCCTTTATAGAAATGATTTTCTGTTATTACAGTCAGAAGTAGACTATCATCTACTTTGAAATAAATAAATATTAAATATTTTGATTTAGAATAAATATTTCTTTGGATTTCAATTGTTTGTTTTCCATTTTATAAATAGTAATAAAATACGAGAAAGGCATGGCAAATGTATTGCATTTTTTGTTTATACCAAAATTCTATTAATAGTTTTTTTTATAATAAAAATTACCTTTTCTAGACTTGTTTTGCTAAATAAAAAACAAAATATTTAAACATTTGTTGTTCACCGGCGTAGCTAGGTTAAGATTTGTGGAGGGCCTCAATGAGCCACGAATCAATTCATAATTTATATATAAAGGGTAGTACCAAACGTCTACGCCAATGGCCTATACAATGTGTTTACATTGTTAATTTGTAGTTTTTGGATAAACAAAAAAACATTTATTTGTATAGATAGATAAAAAATATAACTTCAGTTTAAAGATACATATACAAAATCAAAACAAATATCCGTGGAAAAAAATCATTATATAAAAAAATATTTAAAAACAAATATTATTGTATAATAAAAAAGAAATTGGGGAGGAAGTAGGAGTAAGATAAAAAATATATGTTGTGGTGTACAAATATGTCTGTGATTGTTTTATGCTAAAAATAGATCATTTAATTTTCTATACAATTGAAGAGCTTTTAACACCTCAAAAATAAATCCAGTTTTTTTAATAAATCCAAAATGCTTCTAGTTGTTCAATCACAATGTCAAACGTTAAGCCTTCGTTAAGAAATCATATTTTTTCATTCGCATCGACTTTTGTCCCATCATTGTGATTCCATATGCTTGCTTCAATTGTTTTGTTTGGAGTGTATTCAGTGTGTTTGTGTAGATTATTATTGTGTATAAAAAAATGTTCTAAGAAATATTAATTTGCTATTATTTTGAACTACAAAACTGTTGCTGATGACTTCTGCTAATTATCATGGTAATCAAAAACAAAATGAAAGCATAAAAAAATGCTTTACTCTAATTTAGTTGGGCGAAGATGACGAGGAGGAGGATGATGATGGCGATGATGTTGTATGCCAGACTTTGCCCATTTCCAAAGCTTGTAATTTTAACAATTCGTTTTGACTTTCCTTGGCCTGCAGTAGAAAAACGCTTTGCTGTAAAGAAAAACACAATTTTTAGTGATTTATTATTTAAATGAAAATATTAACAGAAAATACCTTTATCTCCTTGGAAGTCAGCACATCCATTTTGTCATAAATAATTGCATGCAAGCCTAAATTTTTCAGCAATTTAATGGTATCTTTGCAATTGTTATCATCACCCCAACAGAATACAACCAAACCTCGTTCTTTGGCCAGATTTACCTGCAAAAAAAAAAAAAAAAAAATACAAATTATTACCAAGTACAAATAGCAACAATTGTGTAGATCGATACTAGATTAAACTGGTCGTACTTTTGTTTAATCAATACAAATATTTAAAAAAGCTTATCATCCAATTTGATTACAAACAATAGAAATAATTTATAAACAATAATAAATCTCTTAGTGAAATATGACCCCATTCGAATTTACATTGAGACAGTCCTGATTAGGAAAAAGACCCTAAGTCATAAATCTTACAAAAATATATAAAAAAATCGGACGATAATATATATGGAAGCTATACCTAAATCTGAACCGATTTTCCCAAAACTTAACAAACATTATTCTCGACTCATTTTAAACGCTATGCCAAATTTCGTGCAAATCGAAAGATATATAGGGACTTGGGTGCATCATTTACATTGAATCAGTTGAAAATTTATATGGTAGCTATATCTAAATTTTAACCGATTTTCACGAAATTTGACAAACATTATTCTAGACTTACTTAAGTACGCTATGCTAAATTTCGTGCAAATCGAAAGACATATAGGGACTTTGGTGCATCATTTACATTAAATCGGACAAAAATGTATAAATCTGAGCCGATTTTCCCCATTTTCCAAATTTGCTATATCAAATTTCATGCAAATCGAAATATATATAGGGACTTTAGTTAGCTATTTACATTAAAGTGTATACAAATATATATCGAAGCTATATCTAAATCTAAACCGATTTTCCCCAAACGTAACAAATATCATTATAGACTCAATTCAGTACGCTTTACAAAATTTCGTGCAAATCGAAAGTTATATAGGGACATTGGCGCATCATTTACATTGAATCGGACGAAAATTTATATGGGAGCTATATCCAAAACTGAACCGATTTTTCTCAATTTCAATAGGGTTCTCCCTTTGTTGAAATAAATGAGCTGTGCCAAATTTCATTCAATTCGGATCAAAAATGCGACCTGTAGTTTTTTTAACGTGGACAGAAAGCCAGACGAACAGATAGACAGACGGAAGGACCGACATGCATAAATCGACTTAGAATGTGATTCTACGTGTATTCTCAAAAGGAACCATTTGTCTATATCGCTTTCTTTTGCCTGTTACATATGCACAAAGACATAATATCCTGTACGACAGTGTGGTAAAGGAAATAAAAAACTACGCTACTGAATATCCTTAAAAAATGTTTCTAAAAAATGTATGCTATTGAATATTTTGTCCAATTTTTTTTTTTCAAAAATGTCTTCGATAACCATAGGATCCTAATTTTTACAGAATATGTTTTTACAGACCTGTAGACCCAATTTGTTTAATGAACATTTTCCTCAAGACCCTTTATATTATTTTTTAAGGACATACAAACTCTATTTTTTAAGAATATTTTTCAAGGACCTAATTTATTTATTTCTTGAAGGTCTTTAGAGCAGTCATTCTTAAAAATGTTTTTCTAGAACCTTTTTTTCCAATTCTAATGGGTCGATTATGGAAAGCAACCAAACTCCAGTTGCCAGTTCAACTGGCAACGCAATTGAAATAAAACATAACATTATTAATAGCAACTTTTCTCAGTTGCTGTCGAAAATACTGTTTTGACATTTCTACAACTAGAAATATTGTAAACAAACAAAATTAATGAATAAAATGTTTCAGAAAAGCTAATTATATGTGATGATAAGCTCAGTGTCATTTATTAGAAGGCATTTAAGAGATAAATCTATTAGAACTACCATCAGTTCTGTGAGTAGATGCTGACATTTAGAGAAATGTTCAATCAACTGCTCATATTAGCTTGAAGGCGTATTTTCGACTACCAAAAGATGCCGTTGTGTATATAGATGAAGCCTTAAACCCTGATTTCCGAAAAGCCTGGCGGTCAACAGCAATTTCTCCTCTCGTAAAATTTGTGCAGCTCTGATGTTTTTTGTTTTCAAAAGTCCCATAGCAATGACTTCAACCTTGGCATGGCTCAGCCGACAATGTCGGTGGTTTTCGCCGAAGTTATCCGGTTACCCAGAAAAAAGGGAAGAATATAATTTTTTTATTCGAAAACTAAGTTCCAGGGTGTTGTCGGATGTATTGATGATACACACGTACAAATCATGGACCCAAAAGAAGATGTTCGCCACTTTCTGCCATTCATTTGGAATGCGTGTTGGTGGGCCATAGCATTTAAGGTCTTCTGAAATGGCCTTCCACACATCATCGATAGTGGCTTTGGTTTGACCAAAAGTCCGCACGCCGCGTGCTACATTTGGTTTAGCTTCCATCCGGGCAATAAGGACCTCAAATTGTTATTATAAACAAAGTTCAGTTATTATAAACAGCAACCAGAAAAAAATGATTGCCGAAAATTTATATTTGAAGCAACTGAAATTGACAACAGTTGCCATCCATAATGCAAATTTGGCAACTGGCAAGGCAACTAAACTCTGGTTGCCATCCGTAATCGACCCATAAAATTCCTTTTTTACAAATTTCGAAAAAAGAAATCAAAAGCCTACAGAATCTAATTTTTCTAAAAAATAGTTCCCAATAATTAAAAAATTCTCACCTGCGAGGGATCTCTCAGCAAATCCTCGGTGTGTGCCACAATACCCAACAGCTCCATTGCCAGGGAATTAAAAACAGCCGTCTCAATACGATTACCACGTGGATCCAAATATTTTTGATATTTCTCTGTCACACCGATGGTCAAAAACATCACAGGATAACGATTCTGTTTGAAACGCAACATTGTACAAATATCCGGATCGAAACATGAGAACACCACGCGACGCTTGCCCGCTTTACGAAACACTACATCCAAAATACAATCCACATAGAGATTACGATCAATAATGTGTTCAAATTCTTCTTCCATTGTGCCGTCATGCAGACGCTGAGACCATTTCACTTCAATGTTGAATCCTACATGGGGATCAATGGCATCGAGGACATCGGCCAACGGTGGGAATGGTTGATGCTCCTGCAAGTCTTCATCTTGGAAGGAACGTGATGCACGCGATTTACCCTCTGTGGTGTGATAGACTTTTAGATTCTTCAGCTGTTGTAGTGTTAACTCACGTACTGGTAGCGCGAGAAAATCATGTTCTTCCATTTTACATTTGGATTTGAGTGAGACATAAATCATAAAATCGTGATATACCACAGGCACTAAATCTTTACTTAACTGGACATCGAATTCCACCATATCAGCACCCTGAGCAGCGGCATTTTTCAATGAGGTAATCGTATTCTCTCTGATGGACATATCATTGGTTTTGAAAGAGGTGCCGGAACCACGATGACCCACATCCAGACCAGACCATTTCTTGTTCCAATAACGTGTATACGAAACCGACATATCCAAATTGAGGGAGGGTGTGGGTTTTATCAGCAGATAACCCAATTGCATCATACCCATGGGACGATGTTTAGAGGCACATGTAATGGGTACTTCCAAACGACCCTCGGACATTTTGAATAGATTTGGCAGGACATAGTGATAGCCCAAGTGGTGGGGTGGTTCATCTTCTTCTGCCTTGGAGCTGTACGTATACAAATCAATCAAATAGGCGGTGTTCTCGAAATCACCAATTGTCAAATGGAATATGACCAGATCATCGGGGCCACACCGTACGCCAAACTGAGGTTGAGGCTTGATAACACTGTCATCCGCCGACAGGGTAACAACTTCGGAAAAGGAAAATGCAAGGCCACAGTCGCCACCATTCTCTCGGGTGTCATGCGTATCGTTGGACAGGGAATCTTCCAAAGGTGCTATAGAACCCGCCAGCAGGTTATTATCTGTCGCAGCACCAGTTGGTATACGCAAATTCATGGGTGTCACTTTGACAAACATCAGACGCTTCTTCATGCGTTGCTTCCACGAGAATGGGGCATTGAAAATTTTAAATTGGACAATGGTTTCCGTTGACAACCAACCACGATCCACCTTTGTAACATCGTTAACAACACCAAAGATATCCGGATCGACGCGACGTGGCCCTGGCTCATCGATGGCTATTTGACGCAGTGCCAATGAGGTTTCCCAACGGCGAACCAAGAGTTTTTCACTGGTCGGATCCACGGCACAAACAAAATAGCGATAGGCAATTGTGCGATCCCTTGGCAAGGGGATATCCACACTCCACACATTCGAATCTGGAGAAGAGGTTACGAAAATTTGTGTTGTTGTTGTTCTTGTGTGTTTGCTTTGTATGCAAATGAATCCTCTAGTTTGTTTTTTGACCATATACTTTGGCGTGGTCAAATTACATTAATGGTAAAGTCATGGACAATGCCTACATACCCTCGTCATCCTTGCTCATTAGGATAGCGCCACTGAGCTGCCAGTTTCCCAGCGAATCGCAGTTGCCGACCACAGCTAACTTTTCACCGGCAGCCATGTCATCATTCATAAGAACCTGGAACTGCCACATGCGTTCGGCATGTCCATTGGCAGAGCGGGCAGGTGGAGGTGCCAGCATGGCATCACAGGCCTCCGATTCATCGTCAACAAAGTTCCACTGGTTATCCTTGGCCATTATAGCGTTGTTGCTGTCGTTGTTCTTGTTCCCCCGGTGGTATTGACTGTTTTTGTTAAATGTGGTCTATAAAAAAAGTACAGTTGCAAACAAAAAGGGAAATTTCGCCTAAAGAAAGATCACCAATGCCACCGAGAGGGTAGGGGTAAGCGGTAGCATTGATTAAAGAGAACTAAATTAGAAAAAGTCAGACGAAAACATTTAGCAGCGCCAGCGGTAGCGAGAGAGAGGCACGTACGTTCACGCTTCTCATACTCCACTCCACATCACACACATATATAAATATACCTAAATACATACCTCTTTCAATAACAAAAATATGGAATGGAAACCTCTGCGTTCGCCTCCTTCACACTGTCCACGCTTCGTTTTCGGTTTCACGTCTGTTTATAATTGTTGTTTACTTTTGGGGCTATCGATTACTGGACTGCCTTCGTAGGTTTTAGCTCTGCAAATGACGACAATTTTTTAGATAATTTATTCCCGGAAAGTTAATTGAATTCTCCTTCTTCGTACCAACACGATGACATCAATAACACACGAAGAATAATTTGAAAAAATTATAACGCAGCTTGATACAATTACGCTGAACCTTCGCAGTATCTTTTTGCGAAATAATTAAAGTTCAATGTATTGTTGTTGCTGTTGTTATTAATTTTTTTTCGCAACTTTTGTTTGAATGGATGGCACTGACTGTCGGGTGGGATTTCTACCAGTATTGTCTAGGCTGGCAGATGGGTTGGCGTGTTCGTCTAGTTGTTGCTGTTACTTGTTGTTGTTTTCTTGTCGTGGCCTTAGCAAAAAAAAAACTAATGCTATTTTTTTCTTTGGCTATAATATTTGAAGGTTAGACATTTTGTTTTTATTGTTGGTTTTGTAGTTTTGGGCGTAGATTACGATCTCCTCTTCTTCTGGTTTATTTGTTTGAAAAATGAAAGTGTTTTCCGAAATACACTTGCCGCAGTAGCAGCAGCTGTTCTCCTTCTCTCTGTATGACAATGTGAAATTAGGGTGATCCCATGACACACCACTAACCCAGTCAAAAAAATGCAATAGATTTACAGATTAATGCAATGCGTTCGATTTCTTAACTTCAACTGATTTCGAACGACGACAATCGCAATCGTAAACAATAGCCGAACAGTTATCCAAGAACAAAAACAACAACAAACGACCATATGCAACGTTCAGTAGTACATTGAAGTGTCATGTCATGTTTTGGTGTGGGGGTGCATCTTTAATGATGACGTATGAGGAAATGACAATTAGAGTTGTCGAGGGGTTTTAAAATAGATATTTATGCATTTTGGACCAAAAAATACAAAAAAATGTTGTAATAAGTAATAAAAAATAAATACATAAAATAATAAAAATATTTAAAATCGTTATTAAATGTCTTCCATCTAAGGTGTGTATTAAAAATAATTACAATCTGTCGAGACTTTATACGCGTCTATGGCATTGCAAACTGGTTTCCAGAATAACAAAATTACAGACTTTCTAAGACCTTTAAAATAATTGTAGTTTTAGCCACCTTCCGGTTGCGGTTAAATCCAACAAAATACCGATATGTGGAACCGTGTTAAAATTACTATAATGAAGGGAAGGTAACAACAGATTAAAATCGTTTAGCCACTATCTAAAGAGTGGTTTTTATGCCCTCCACCATAGTATGGAGATTATATTCATTTTGTTTTTCCGTACGTAACACATCGAAATAATCATTTCCGACCCTATATAGTATATATCCTTGATTATGTTGTAATCACTCTAGCATCTAAACGAATGCTCAAAACTTAGCACAAAATCATATTTTGTCTGCAGGCAGGTCAAGTTTGGAGATGGGTTACATCGGTCCACGTTTCGGCATAGCTCCTATATAAGGCTACCCTCCGATTTTCGGGTTTAGGGTTTCTTGAACGCATTTTTCAACCGAATTCGCTGAAATTTGGTACATTAATTTTTTCGGGTATTCCCCATATAAGGGCTCCGCCCAATTTTCGATACTTTGGCGTTACTGAGCGCATTTTTCAACCGAATTCTTTTGTCTGCTAGCAGGCCAATATCGAATATGGGCAATATCTGTCCACATTTAGGCATAGCTCCAATATAAGCGCACCACTCAATTTTTGGTATTTTGGGGTTTTTGACCGCGTTTTCAACCGAATTCGCTAAAATTTGGTACATTGGGTTCTTATTGGGTAGAAAATCTCGCCACTAAAAATTATAAATATAGGACCACTTTTTCTGGTAGCCCCCATATAACGAAACCTCCCAATTTTCAGTTTTTGGAGAGTTTTTACCATATTATTCGATCGAATTGGTTGTAATTTAGTACTTCGAGTACATTGGATTCTTATGGGGTACCAAATTTATCCACTAAAAATTATAAATATAGATTATTTTTTCTGGTACCCCAATTTTCAGTTTTTGTGGAGTTTTGGCCGTATTTTTCGGCCGAATTGGCTGCAATTTAATAATTTGCGTTAAAATTTGCTACCCAGTATTATCTCGCCACCAAAAATTGTAAATATAAGTAAATTTTTTCGTGTAGTCTCCATATAGGGGTATCCCACAATTTTCGGTATTTTGGGTTCTCTGAGCGCGTTTTTCAACCGAATCCCCCTCCCAAAGATTATTAATATTCGCCACTTTTTAGTGAGGCCACCTAAAACTTGCATATGACCGCTACTTCGTTAGCAAATGTGGGAAATATATAAACATGTACCTCTAAAAATTCATTCAAATCCAAATTTTGGCAAATTTAGTTCCATTTAGCACACATTTTTTCCATAAGTACCCACCTCAACCATCTAACAAACATTCCTACATACCCTGATCCTACACCCATTGGTTCACCCACAATTTAAATTGTACCAAGTTTAGTACACAGTAGTACGAATTTCTAAAAGTTCCTACTCGCCCAAAACCTACACCTCCATAGTGACCCTAAATCCAATTTTCAGGACTCCAACTCTACCGGTTCATCCACAATGCAATTTGTACAAAGTTTAGTACATAGTAGTACTAATTTCTAAAGCTTCTACATACCCCGATCCTACACGTCTTAATGATCGCAAATTCAAATTTCAGGATTCCAACTCCATTGGTTCAGCCACAATTCAAATTGTACCAAATTTAGTACACAGTAGTACCAATTTCCAAACCTTCCTACTTAATCCATACCTACACCACCACAGTGGTCCTTAATCCATGTTTCAGAATTCCAACTCCATTGGATCACCCACAATTCAAATTGTACCAAATTTAGTACACAGTAGTACGAATTTCCAAAACTTCCTACTTAACCCAAACCTTCACCCTCACAGTGATCCTAAATCCAAGTTTCAGGATTTCAACTCTATCGGTTTACCCACAATTCAAATTGTACCAAATTTAGTACACAGTAGCACCAATTTCCAAAACTTCCTACAAACCCCAATCCTACACCTCCACAGTGATCCTAAATAAAATTTCAGAATTCCAACTCTATCGCTTCACTCACAATTTAAATTGAACCAAATTTAGTACACATTAGTACAAGTTTTTAAACATCTTACATATATCAATATTGCACCCCAACAGTGATGCCCTCTCCCAATTTCACGATTCTTGCTCTATTGGTTCACCCAAAATTCAAATTGTACTAAATTTAGTACCATTTAGTACTCATAAATATTAATTTCTAAAACTGAATCCTGATCCCAATCCTACATCTCAATAGTGGTCCTGAAAAAAATGTCCAAAAGTACGTAAATATCCCAATGTTATACTCCGACAGTAATGTTAATTTAAATTTTCAGGATTCCAGCTCGATTTGTACTTCCAAATTAATTTTGTGCTTAATTTTGTCATTTAGTTAAAACTGAAAAATATAATTTTTATAATTAATTATTGCTTTATTTCATCAAAATATTACCAAAAAGCACATTGGCAGATATGCATTCATCGTATGACCTAGCCATTATAATAACAGCTGATCAAAGAGCACTATTGATTGTAAAAGTGGCAACGCCGTCAACAAATTCGGTGTAACTACGACATTTACTAAAGCAAACATTTGCCGCAAGCAGTATCCTGCCGGTTTTTCTACGTTTCGCGCGCGAAATTTACGGAAAGAAATACAATGAGTTCCACAAGAACGCCACAGATACGAAAAAGGCGGTCAACGGGTAAACTAGTTGTCCTGAACGAGGAAGAACTTATACATCAAGTCCAGCTAAGGCCAATACTCTATGATCGGACGCTGAAATCATTTCGAAAGTCTTCGCTGCGACAAATGCATTGGCAGGAAGTCAGCGATGTGATGGGTGCAACAACAGATGAATGTCGCAGGCGATGGCGTTCTTTGAGAGATTCCTTTGCCAAACATTACAAGCAAGTACAACGTACCGAAGATGAACATACACGGAATAAACACCGCAAGTGGGTTTTCTATGACCAGATGTCTTTTATGATACCATATATGGATAATGCAAGGTATGGTAGAGTGGGATGGTGGTGAACATTTTGAATTTTTGGTAATTCGTTTGTTTTTCTTCTTCCCAGTTATTCCTTGGATGACCATCTCATTGAGGAATTTGGTGACAATTCGGATGATCAAAGTATTCACTGTGAAACATCATCCACGGCCGTATTAGAACAAGCACAAGGCAATCAAAATACAACCAAGATGGAAAATCACATTGAGCAGAGACATAGCAATGATCATGTCCAGCAAAACACCGTTTCGGTGCAGGCCACAGATTTTATGCCAGTGCCGGAAGAGACAGAAGTAATGGACCATCACCACAGCCATCATCAGCATCATACACCAAATAGATACAGAGTCAATCAAAATGGTGAATATAAAAATCGCAACAATGAAGAAACACCTTCATATTATGCGTCGCCCAATAACTATTTCGATTCGGATGAAAAGTTTTTGCTTAGTTGTGCCCCGGCAATGCGACGTTTAACTAATCGCCAAAATGCCATAGCCCGCCTACAGATCCAACAACTTTTGTTTGATATTGAATTTGGAAATCGTCAGAATCATGATTAATAGATTTTCATTTACTCAGTCTCTCTCTCTCTCGCTCTCCCTATATCCGAGGGGACAGATAATCATCAGAGTCCATTCAAATTGGTTGTTAATAATTGCAATGAATTATCTTATCTCCTGGGGCAAGACAATTGAATATTGGAAGTTTTTCAAAAAGAAGTCTTCGCTATTTTGTTTGCCATAATATTTCTATAATCCTAACAGTAATAACATTGTATCTATGCACGGGTAAAGACGTTCGGAATTCATTATGACAAACAATAATAGATGGTGGCTGATGATAGTGGTGCTCATCGCTGCTTTAATTGCGACACAAAGAGGTATTATCATAGATTTTTTTGTGGTATCGGTTTAATTGATTTTTTTCTATTTTCATAGTTAATGCATTGGAATGTTATGCCTGTGATTCGAACGAAGATCCAGAATGTGCCACAAAACCCGGTATTCAGCTCCCAGTCGAAGAATGTCCTACTGAAAATGATGAATGTGTTCAAACTGTGGGTATGTACAGATTTTATAATATTTGAAAAATGCATGTGGCTGCTTCTAAATCTTAAGCTGAAAACCCTTCAGATCATACACACTTTCATATCCTAATTTACGAATTATTTGATTTTACATATCCAAACATTGGAAATTGATTTTAAAACCGTAATCGTATGCCTTTCAACAGCGCGACGGATAATTTTGGGAAATTTGTTATGGCAGCTAAATATTGAGGATAGCACTTTTATTCGGTTTTCGACGCGAACTTTAATAGTAAAATATTATATAGTGACGTCGCGAATTTTGGGTTTTTAATATGTCTATTATTTTTGGTCGTGATTTGTTTTTTTAATTTTTTTTATCTAGACGTGAATTTATAAGTTTTGGGAGTACCAAGAGTTTTTAATGCCACGAAATATTTGTCCTAGACCCTCCTTTAAATATACCGATCACCATATCTCGACTAGCTTAGCCAGCTGTGTGTCCGTCCGTCTGTCAATTATAATTTGTAATCAGAGAATATGGACCAAATGTAACAAATTATTGTATTTAGGTTAGGTTCTGTCCAAGTGATCAAAGAATTTATTTTTGTCTGCTTACTCCTCACTCTAGTGGTCATAATTAATACCCGAATATCACGAAATTTTACACAAGGAAGGGGATCAATACTTTTGTATGAAAAATTACAACATTTGTATTCTATGGCGAATACATTCATCCTAGAAGACATATAACGTAGAAGATGATAGTGTATATCCGAGAATGTAATCTGATGATACTTCGAAGAAGTAGAAGTTGATCGGTGCAGAAAGGGTGTACAGATTTTGCCAACATATGAAATATGATCTCTTACACTTAAGTTCCAAAATTTAAAAAAAGGTTTGAGGGTTTTTAAATATTTTTTAAACCTTGCATTTTAAAAAACAAATTTTTTTAAGTAGATTAATTTTTGGGCTCGGATATCATAAGACCTTGAATTAGTTTAAAAGCTAATTTTATTGTGTAAAACGTGGATTGTATTGAAATATTTTTATACCCTCAGCCTTTAGGCTAATAAGGGTATATACACTTTGATACGTAGAAGATGATAGTGTATATCCAAGATGAGTGGTTGACCTTTAAATGTAATCTGATGTGGGAGTTATACATCGAAGAAGTTTATCGGTGCAGAAAGGGTGTATAGATTTTGCCAACATATGAAATATGGAACTTAAGTTCCAAAATTTAAAAAAAAGGTTTGAGGGGTTTTAAATATTTTTTAAATCTTGAATTTTAAAACCACTTCTTAAGTAGAGGAATTTTTAGGCTTAGATATCATAAGGTCTTCAATTAGTTTAAAAGCTAATTTTAATTTGTAAAACGTGGATTATATTGAAATATTTTTATACCCTCAGCCTTTAGGCTAATGAGGGTATATACACTTTGATGCGGTGAAAATGTGCCTCATCGAAATATTGGTTTTAGACCCCAAATCCGTTTCAGAATATTTGGTGTCGATTTAGCCATGTCCGTCCGTGCATTGTCCGTCTGTCTGTTTGGCTGGTTGGTGCGCACGAAAACTCTCGAAGGCAGCAACCGATTTCATTCGAACTTTTCACATCTTAATATTTCGTCCAAACTTAGTTTAAGTTCGAAGATGGGGGATATCGGTCCACTCCTTCTGGTACCTCTCCCACAAAATGCTCAAAATTGTGCCAAAAATTAATTTTATGATAACATGGAAACGGACTATCCGATTTTAACGAAACTTTGTACAGCCTATTATCTTTACCAAGTCTAGATCAAGTCTGAAGATGGGACCCATTGGTCAACTCCTTCTAGTACCTCCCCCACAAATGGTCCAAATTTTCAATATTTGTAAATCGAATATCAGGCGAATGGAAGGTCCGATGTGAACCAAACTTTGCACAACCTATTATCTTTATGAAGTCTAGATTAAGTTCAACGATGGGACCCAGTAGTCCACTACTTCCGGTACCTTCCTCACAAATAGTCAATATTTTACAAAATGCTATCAACATTAAATTGATAAAAACATATTTGATTAAAACATATTTGTTATATAAAGCTAATAATAATATCTGTGTCTATTCGCAAGAGACCTACGCAAACTATAGGGTGGGGGTATATATCTGTCGGCAACACCGACTGACCAATTTTTAAATATCACTGCAATAGTTTCATATTTTTATACCATCCACTATAAGGTGGATATTCCGGATATTCTTGGTCAGAATAATATTCTATGTCGATTTACGCATGTCTGTTGATATCACTAAAGAGATTGAAATATTTTAAATAGAAATATGCGATTTTCCCCAGACATTGCTAGTATTCCTAGGATGGGATATATCAGTCAACGTTTTAGTTTAGTTCCCATTTCAGGGACCCCCAATATTCGGTATTTTGGGGTTTTTTGACACGTTTTCATACCGAACTGGCTGTTATTTGCATTTTGTGTTCCCGATGTGTAGCACATATCCGTATTAAAAATTATTAATATTGAACTACGTTTAAGGGTAAGCCCCCATAGTATAGTATAGGTATACCCCAATATGTGGACTTTTGACACGTTTTTCATTCAAATTGGCTGAAATTTGGTATTTTAGGTTCTCATTAGGTACCACCACATCTCCGCACGAACAATTATTAATACTGAACCAAATCGGTATTTTGAGATTTTTATACTCTACACAACTATGTTGTCAAGGTATTATACCTTTGTGCAGTCCCAAGAGTTTGTATACCGATTTCGACTAGCTGAGTCGATCTAGACATGTGTGTCCGTCTGTCCATTATAATTTGCATGTAGGGTGGACAATGAATACTCCTATTGTTTATGGTAAAGATCGGACACGCCGATAATTTTCGGTTATGATCAGATAATAATATTGAAATGAAATGGACTGAAATCTTAATTTGTTTGTGTTGTTTTTTTTCGAGTCGATATATAGGCCACAAGGAATCTAGACAAGTAACTAGAAGGACTGTACTGAATATTAGTAATATTTGTTGACCTCTAGACGGTCATGAGTGTGAAAATATCGCGAATAAGCTCAGAATATAGAAACACACAAATTTTGATTTTCGTGGAAGTTGTGTAGGGTATCATATGGTCGTCCCCGTCCGACTATACTGCTCCGCTCAATGGTTTGACATGTTTTTCTACTGAATTGGCCTTTATTTGTTTTTTTTATTCTCATTGGCTGTCAAATCACACTGCCAAAAAAAATCAATCCCCGTTTACTTATGGCCCCATATTTTTCTCGCGTGGATGTTTTATTATTATTTATTATGAAAACTTTAGATAAATATATCTAAAATGTGCTTCAACGAAATATTGGTTTTTCAAGTGTTAAAGTTTCAATATTATGCGGACTTCTAAACATAAAAAATTCTACAATAATATATCACTATAAATTAAATATGTCTTGAAATAAAATTATTTAACTGATGCAAGTGATTAAGTTTAAAAATTATACGGACTCCGAACATAAAAAATACCCGCGTCGGCAAACATAAAACTATAAATTAGTCTTGAATTAAATTTTAGAAAAAATGCCCGTCTTGAAAGCAAATTTATTCGCAGTTTATAATACCAAATCAAATATAGCAATAAGTAGATTTGCATGGCTCCTATGGAAATCCGAAAGCTGAAATAATTAAAATCTTAAAAAAATCATGTATAAATTCATCTGACAATACCATCGTGGCTTTTGCATGTCTCATACTCATTAGCATTTAAAAATAATATATCATTCAAAAACGCATATCCTAATACCATGGAAGCTGGCTTGCCGATACTAATCACCTAGAATAAGAAAATAGCAAATAAGGAATAATAAAATACAAAAATAATCCAACTACCCCTTTATATTACCAGTCTCGGGTATAACTCGACGTGGTTGCTTATCTCGCCTCTTTCCCAGCCGTTATTGCCCAGAACCTTGTGAGCGCTGTAAAAAGAGTCTCTGCAATCGTGACATTTTTCCACAGGATCGTCTAAAGTGCTACCAATGTTCGGGAGCTGATTGTGTAAATGTGGCGAACTATACCCAATATCTGATGCCCTGCCCAGTCTATAATGTAAACGATCGTTGCTTTATGAAAATCATGCACAAGAATAACGTGCAACGTGGCTGTGAATACTCGATTGCGGATGCTTCAACCTGTCCTAATTCCTGCATCAAATGTAATCGTGACGGATGTAATAATGAACCTGGTGTTTGGAAACAAAGTTGCTTGCTGTGTTCACATACATTTGCCAGTCCCGATCCAGCATGTTGGCGTGGTCAAGATCCAATGGCGGATAAATGTACAGCATCTTCTACGGTGTATTGCGAGAACAATAATTTGTATGGCGAGACAGCAAAATGTTATACCTACATCAATGAGCAAACGGGTGTTGTGCAACGTGGCTGTTCCTCAAATAAACCATTTTTTCCAACTGGAACGCTTACCGAATGCTATGGAGAGAATTGCAACAACAAGTGCCTGACCATATCATGTAATATATGTTCTTCCAAAGATGATCCGAAATGTGTGGAGGGCAATTATCTGTATCCCACTAAATGTTCGGAAGGAACGAATTCTTGTTACTCCTGTGAAAATGGCAATCACATCCGAAGAGGTTGTGCCGATAAAGAATTTTTTGCCACACGCCAGCCCAATGAGGTCTGTTATTATTGCAGTAATTCGACACAGACTGGCTGTAATCGTTTTCCAGTACGCACCTGTTATTCTTGCTCTTCACTGGACGATGAAGATTGTGCCGAGATGATGACCCCTGAGATAATAGATCAACTTAATTGTTCGTCGCAAGAAGATGTCTGTGTAAGTACCGTTGTTACCAAATTGCAATTGACCTATGTACTACGGGGATGTGCTTCACATTTGGCAGAATGTACCGATAACGATCCTTTGTGTGTTCGCTGCAATGGCAGTTTGTGTAATGACGTTCCTATTGATTTGTCGACTTACGTGCGACGAAAGCAAATATCAGTGGAAGTGGATGTCAAAGTCAAAGGAGAAGCTGTAATGCAGCAGTTGAGCGTAGCCGTAATGGTGGCATCGTGGATTTTCTTCTTGTTATTAAATAAAATATAATAAATGATTTTTGATTTTGCGCGCTATCGTTTTGTTTGTTTTATTTCTATTTTTATTATTTTTTAATATTTAAAATCGAATATATAGAAATAGGGCACAATCTCTTCCATTTCAAGTACATTTAGTTTAGACAAGAAATTTCTAATTTGTTTAATTTTCTTTTTCTTGATTTCCATATATATCCACAAAATGTGTTCAGGTTTGATTGTGGAACTCCTTTCCGTACAAAATGGCAAAAATGTACTTACTTAATCCGGACCTCTTCACCTTGCATTTAGAGGTTTTGCAAAGACGTCACCAATTGATTATCTTGAGGCTTTAGTTGTTAAGGATTCTTTATTGTGACCATTCAGATTCCTTAATCTAAAAACCAAATTTTTTATACTTATGGCTCCTGAACCAAGACGATTTCGCTTTGAGAGTTCGTGAGGGACAAGAGTATTTTTGCGGCTGCGGTTTGGCAGTGGTGCAGGTTAATCTGTAGAATTTGCAGCCTTTGTCGCTTCACTACACTTACTGAGTTTCGGAACCGAACTCGTACTGAACCGTAGTTCAATTTTCCGTCGCACTCTTTGAGAAAAACATCCCATTCCTCCGACCTCGTTACAAGGTGTTAGACTGATAAGTAGTGACGTTGGGATTTTGCATTGCCATCATTTTCAGCAGAAATTCTTTGCCCACAGAAGGTGGCGGAACTCAGGCTGAAAGAATCCGTCTTGACGGAATCTCAGATCAAGAGACCGCAGCAAGGTTAGTCCCCAAGTGCGCTAAAGCCATCCGCCGTTTTCACAAGGAACTCTCCCGATTTCCTGTTCAAACTGTTCGGATGAGCGAATGCTTCATTTGTGCTGTGGGGCATTATTCGTTCCTCCAGAAGTCGATCCTTGGCTGACTTGACCTTTTTCCTGTCCCGACCGACACTGGAGCCACTAAGTACATTGGTGCTGACCGCTTATACTTTGCTTTTTAGCGTAGAATCTGGCTTTGAGACAGAGTCGTTCGCTTGCCGATCACCTTATAGGTGTCAGTTGGTTTCTGGCATTACTCATCGGCTTTTTCCATTAGCGTTTGACTAGGATCAGATTTCTGCGCCACACCTTAGCCAGAGGCAGTGGGCTTCACCGACTCTACTACTTTGCTCGTTTCCGGATTCAATTTTGACGTTTTTGGTCGATCAATTTTTTTTTTTTTTTTGAGGAAGATTCTGCCCATGTGGAGCTCTCGATGAAAAACTTGCTCATAGGTTCTTTCAAATTTCCTTACAATTTCAATCTTACCTCTAATGATGTGGACATACCTCTCCGAATGGAAGTTCGTATCTTACCCCACAAACTTGCGAAGATATAATACAGCACGTTTATAGTGATTCGCATCAGATGTTTATTGGGCAGTTCCGACCTTTGAGTCACTGACCGTTATCGAAGTCTCGTAAGATTCCCCATCAGGAATCGGACATCGAAGCATATTATGGCATGTGCCGACACAGGGCCTGTCGGTGTCAGATTTGCCTTCGGTTGGGCAACAGGGTCTATACTCATATCGTTAGAGTAACAGTAATATTCCTGAGTAGACTCGGCCGGAATCACCGTGGTGTCCAGCTCATCTCCAGTTAGGTTTACTTACTGCCGATAATACGGGACCGGTGAATATATGTGCCGATAGTCAGGCGGCCCTCAAGGTTTTGAAGTCGTGCACTATAAACTCAAAAGCAGTTCTTGATTGGGTTGGGTTCCAATCTTGCGATTGAGAGATCTGTGCAAGCACCCATTGGCTATTTCATTGGCAAAATCCGCTTGTCTACGGCTAGGTAGTCGGTATCAGATGGTCGAGAGAACCTGTTTGCAGAATCTCAAAAGCTATCTGGCCTGAATTCCCTCGCCGAAGAACTTCTTCGCTGTTGGCACACAATAAGAGAGAAATCAAAATCATTGTGGTAATTATAGGAGGTCACTGCAGGATTAGATCTCTCCCTTCAAAATGGGACTACAGCGGAGAGGACTACTGTCGTCTATGTGAGTACGAAGAAGCTATAAACAATTGAACATATCCTCTGTAGATGTCCATCGCTGAGTAGCAGAAGACATAAACCGTTTGAAAGATATGAAATTGATAATCTAGCTTTCTACTCTAAAATAGACCCCAACCAGATCCTAGGCCTTGTCAAAAATCTGACATGGCTCTCCTTCTCCTACTATCTTCTCCTCTCTCTTCTTTTCCCGTTCTCTTTTCAGGTCGATTTTGTAGTAGTTCATCCGGGAGTATGTCCTCACTTTGCTCTTTCGGTACAATCTGTCCACTTGGTCGAATAGTTTGTTTCTCTAGACTATGGTGAATAGCGCTAAGAGTCCCATGTTGGTTGTCCCTACGGACCTGTCGGTCGAAGGTTGTTTTTTTACCAATCTTGACTAAATCATGTTCCATTAGAATTGGCGGGTCGTCATATTTTTCCGGGGTTGAACTAGATGCACTTGTGTACAGCTGCAGGAACCAAGGCATTCACACCTAAAGCAGCCGACGACTCGTAGCTTGTGGTCTTACCCACGCTTGTCGCCGGTGCTGGGTTATTAACTCCCTGTACCGTAACTTAATTTTTACTTTTTCACAACTTAGTTAATTATTTACGGGAACTACCCTGATCCATTTTGATCCAGGGGGTTTCCGAATATCCCCAAGGTTTCCACGATGTACATAGCCAAATTCCGGCCTAGGTTGTCCTAGGACGTTTTACCCTGCACATCGTGGACATTATTTCATATTTAGATATAGCTCCTATATATATTTTCGCCCAACTTTATGTAAATGATGCTCCATAGACTCTATATTTGTTAGATTCACACGCAATTTTGCACAATGTATAGAATATTGAATAACCAGTGCGAATTGTTCTTTACATCGGTTCCGAGATATAGGCCATATATATATATTTTAGGAAAAGTGTGCAAAAATTGTTCGATTGAGACGACATTTTGTATAGCATAGATAATTCAGAGTAGAATGGCGAGAATCGATTCAGACTTAGCTTATCTCCCATATATTTTTGTCCGATTTCATGAAAATTGTGAATGAAAAACCCAACGTTTGTGCAATTGATATGCAATTTTCCACATCGAATACGTTTTAATTATATATATTTCGTCCAATTTCTTATTATAGGTAAACCGACATCTTTAATTCTTTTAATTTACTGACTTTTGAATTTTCGAATAATATACAGTATCAATTTTTAAAATTTATTAGGTTTTCTATCAAACACACCTAATATAGGCACAATAGTTTCGATTATTAGTTATCGATAATAACAATCTCATATACTGGCGACATCTGTCTCTCTGAATATTTGAGTCGCTAATATTTCAAGTGCGCCATCTACAACTAATATGAAACATTACATTCATAGAGACATCTAGCTTTCATTCGTATATTCATATCGATTTATTATTATTACTGGTTTCCTATTATAGGTACACCGATATCTCTAATCTTCTCATTTATTGTCTCTTGGGTCATCGAATGAATAATTTTTACAATTTCTTACCTATTATTAGGATATCAAACACATCTAATGTACATTATCGAAATAGTTTCGATAATTATCGATATTAACAATTGCATATACTGGCGACATCTGCCTCCGATTATTTGAGTCGCTAATATTTCAAGTGCGCCATCTATAGTTAATATGGAAATTTATATTTGTAGTCGCATCTAGATTTCGCTCGTATATTGACACTGACTTATTGACAAAAATTAGGAGTCAATTTTTAGGCGTTTCTCTTTTACAGCCATTAACACTTTAGCTCTACAAATGCAATACAAAATAATTATTTAAATTATCTCTCATAAAAATTTAACACTAATTAATTTTAAAATATATCAATATTGGAGGACTTTTTATTTTGTTTATATAGTTTTTCAATTATGCATATTAATTATTCTGTTGATATATCGTAATTAATTTTTCCAAACACAAATTACCATTTTACAATTCAATAATTACCAGCTAACCCCTTCAATTGTTCCATGACCATTAATAAAAAAAGTTGCTGATGTTTACAATGGTGTGACACATTTGTTTTCCCAATTTTTTTCTCTGTTGATATTTCGAAATCCCCACGAGAACACTTAGTTCAATTTCAATTTACATTCTGTTTTACAATATGCCACTTTAGATGAACGCCCATTAAATATGGATATCTTCAAGCAGAATACTTCTCAGTTCATCATTAATTGACTGAGGGGCTGGGTGGCTGTTTCGCCTTATCACTTCGTCCAATTATGGATATCAGTGCTAGGAAATGGAAAGCAATGACACCGATATCATAACCACACATGTCTTCATAAAAACCAGAAGGGTGGATCGACCGACAGCCACTGAACCGTTTTTTTGTTTGTTTGGAGATGAGAAACTACTATTCAACCGAAATCATTGCCACCATGGGAATATTTTGAAATTTCCATTGAAATATGGTGTGGCGTTCACTTGTCGCTGCTGTTATTTCAACAAGGTCTTTGGAGATAACACCAAGAGCTGTTTCAAAACATTTTAGCGGATTTGTTGTTTTTTTTTCTTTAATTCTGAAAGTGGTAAAATGAATATTGGCTCCACAGGCATGGATTTTTTAAACAGATTTTTTTTCAAAGACCAACAGCCCCATAGGCGTGGATTATTAAATAAATTTTTTTCAACGACCAGTAGACCAATAGGCGTGGATTTTTTAATTAGATTTTTTCAACGACTATTGGCTCCATAGGCGTGGATTTTTTAAATAGATTTTTTCAACGACTATTGGCTCCATAGGCGTGGATTTTTTAAATAGATTTTTTCAACGACTATTGGCTCCATAGGCGTGGATTTTTTAAATAGATTTTTTCAACGACTATTGGCTCCATAGGCGTGGATTTTTTAAATAGATTTTTTCAACGACTATTGGCTCCATAGGCGTGGATTTTTTAAATAGATTTTTTCAACGACTATTGGCTCCATAGGCGTGGATTTTTTAAATAGATTTTTTCAACGACTATTGGCTCCATAGGCGTGGATTTTTTAAATAGATTTTTTCAACGACTATTGGCTCCATAGGCGTGGATTTTTTAAATAGATTTTTTCAACGACTATTGGCTCCATAGGCGTGGATTTTTTAAATAGATTTTTAAATAGATTTTTTCAACGACTATTGGCTCCATAGGCGTGGATTTTTTAAATAGATTTTTTCAACGACTATTGGCTCCATAGGCGTGGATTTTTTAAATAGATTTTTTCAACGACTATTGGCTCCATAGGCGTGGATTTTTTAAATAGATTTTTTCAACGACTATTGGCTCCATAGGCGTGGATTTTTTAAATAGATTTTTTCAACGACTATTGGCTCTATAGGCGTGGATTTTTTAAATAGATTTTTTCAACGACTATTGGCTCCATAGGCGTGGATTTTTAAATAGATTTTTTCAACGACTATTGGCTCTATAGGCGTGGATTTTTTAAATAGATTTTTTCAACGACTATTGGCTCTATAGGCGTGGATTTTTTAAATAGATTTTTTCAACGACTATTGGCTCTATAGGCGTGAATTTTTTAAATAGATTTTTTTTTACGACCAACAGCCTTTTGGGCTTTTTCTAATAACATGTTTTATGAACTATTACGAGACACTATAATACCTTTTAAGCCCCTTAAACTTGTGTATCAACCATATTTAAACTTTTCAGTACAAAAATCTCCATTGTTATCGAATGAACGTGGTTGCAGAAATGTTACCCCTTTTCACTCTTCGAAAATATACGGTTTAGTTAAGTCGTTACAACATGTTTCCAAATACAATGTACTTCACAATTCACAAATTCAATACAAACACCGATAATGCAGCGATAATATTAACAAGTGCCACCAAAGCTTATCATTGTAACACGGCAAAAGGAAACCAAGTAACAGCAGCAACAACAACTCGAAAATGCTATTAAAGTAGCCACTGCACTTGCACTGTCACAAAAGCAGACAGACGGACAGCCAGTAGGTCCAAACGAGCAAACAAGTGGAGTAGCCTAGAAAATTGCCAATCTTAGATAAGAACACGAAACACGAATAATGCCAACAACACAACAACAATTACCAACCCGCCAAGTGGCAGTTGTTTTGCCAAGCGCCAGCGACGACAATTGTTAAGTGAAGGTGGCTAGTTTATTTGGTATGGAATTGGCTCCCTATTTCCTCATTGTTGTTATGGTGGGGGTCTCTTCAAATAGGAAGAAATGTTGGTTGTATATTTCAAATGTGTTTCGAGTAGCAATCATGTAGTTGCATGCATACATGCAGTCATGAAGTGGAATGGAACCCGCTTCACTCCTCTGTAGCTCTTTTTTTGCTGACTTTGTTACATGCCATGGTAAATGATTTAGAAGACCACTTATATGGAAGCGAATAGTACTAGTGGTAGAACATTCTCCACGTTCACGATATTTTGAAAATAATACAAAATATGAATTCTAATTGATAGTCCTTGAAAAATTTAACTTTAAAAATCCACGCCTAAGGCTCTGATAGTCCTTGAAAAATTTAACTTTAAAAATCCACGCCTAAGGCTCTGATAGTCCTTGAAAAATTTAACTTTAAAAATCCACGCCTAAGGCTCTGATAGTCCTTGAAAAATTTAACTTTAAAAATCCACGCCTAAGGCTCTGATAGTCCTTGAAAAATTTAACTTTAAAAATCCACGCCTAAGGCTCTGATAGTCCTTGAAAAATTTAACTTTAAAAATCCACGCCTAAGGCTCTGATAGTCCTTGAAAAATTTAACTTTAAAAATCCACGCCTAAGGCTCTGATAGTCCTTGAAAAATTTAACTTTAAAAATCCACGCCTAAGGCTCTGATAGTCCTTGAAAAATTTAACTTTAAAAATCCACGCCTAAGGCTCTGATAGTCCTTGAAAAATTTAACTTTAAAAATCCACGCCTAAGGCTCTGATAGTCCTTGAAAAATTTAACTTTAAAAATCCACGCCTAAGGCTCTGATAGTCCTTGAAAAATTTAACTTTAAAAATCCACGCCTAAGGCTCTGATAGTCCTTGAAAAATTTAACTTTAAAAATCCACGCCTAAGGCTCTGATAGTCCTTGAAAAATTTAACTTTAAAAATCCACGCCTAAGGCTCTGATAGTCCTTGAAAAATTTAACTTTAAAAATCCACGCCTAAGGCTCTGATAGTCCTTGAAAAATTTAACTTTAAAAATCCACGCCTAAGGCTCTGATAGTCCTTGAAAAATTTAACTTTAAAAATCCACGCCTAAGGCTCTGATAGTCCTTGAAAAATTTACAGC